TGCTCCATTAGGGCGCCTGTTTTTGAGGTTCGTGAGGGACTCGCCAAGAAATGTTTGCACCCCAATCTCCTCAATTTTGGAGGATTCGGATGACGAGCATCAAATTCCTAGGCCGAGTGGATCGGTGTCGGAGGTAGAGGTGGGGGAGGACACTACTGACACTGGTCAGCATGCCCCCAGTTTCGAAGAAGATTCTGATGATGACTCTGGGTCATCATCCTCTGACAGCACCTTCATTGACTCGGAGGAGGCGCGGTCCAAACTAAACGATGACCAAGAGTCCCTTTCAGTGGACATGGGCGAAGGATGGGCGGAGCCGTCTGCTTTGCGCCGACTGGAACGTGCTCCTTATTTTTTGCACGTTGCCAAGAGCAGGCAGGAGAAAATGACAGCCGACTTTGGCAAGTTCATCTCCAATCATGTCACGGGACATGAGTTTTTGTTGTCCGTGCTGGATGTTGGGGACATAGTCCTCTGGCCAGAGAAGGCCAGCTACAGCGACCAATGCTTCGACTCCTACGAGGCGGCCATACAAGCTGGTCTGCGTTTCCCTCTCCATCCGACAGTGGAGAGGATTCTTGATGGATACTAACTGGGTACTTGGAAACTAGCCCCCAACTCTTGGGTAAATATTTCGGGCTACGTTGCTGCCTGTGAGATGTTGGAATTGAAGTGGACCCCAGCTTTGAAGCATTCATTCATATGCACTATTTGAGCAAGACTCCCCATTCAAGTGGGGCCAGCTGGTTTACCCTTACTAGCCATAAGGGTTTTATGATGACACTGGGCAAAGAGAACAAATAAAAATATTAGAGAACAAAATTCTACAGTGTCTCTTCCCCAGACCACCAGCTGAACATGCGGTACAATCCCTGGAACAAATAACCTCCCATTCTGGCTGGAAAGAGAGCCCCTGCCGCCTGTCCCAACGCAGGTGCAGGAGCAGATATTGGATCAAGGCCTTTTATCTGTGGCCGTTCGAACCAATGAGGAAACAAGGGTAAAGTAGGTAACCCCACAGAGCTATATTCCCCGTTACGAGTGGCTATCGAACGAGACGTATCTGGCCGCTTGCGGTCTTAGTTCTGAGAGGCCGAGAAGTAGTAGGCCGCTTGGATTTACTTTGCTTAACTGCTCTTGATGATCTTGGTTTTTTGTCTGAATTTCTAACTCTTTATTAGTTGTTATTCAGGCGAAGCAATGTCGAAGCTCTTGGCAGCAAAAAGTCAGTTGACATTTTGCAGCTTTCTACCGTTCGTCTGTTTTGAGCAAACGGTCGAATGAGGAACAACCGTCAGGCGGAACTCCTAAGATAAAATATTTTTCTATTACTTGAATGGAGATTCCTTGAAATCATAAGTACACTAACATATGAATTCTTTGCAGGGTGGCTCGTCCAAGCCCTCTCCCTCTAAACAGCCGGACCTGAAGCTGCAAAAGCAGTCGGGTGGCGATGTTGGCACTTCCGGCAAGGCCCAGAAGCACATTGCCCATAAGCCCAGGAAGGTTCCTGGCGGCTCCACCCCATCAAACTATCATAAAAGTCGGATGCCCCTAAGGGGGTATCAAAAGAGTGGCAAGCAATGATTAATACACACCAAAACCAATGTTTTTATTTCCCTCGTCAACTCATTGGGATATAAATCACAAGCAAGACAAGTGAGTGACTTTCAAGAATTACCGATCATACAAATGTGCACATGAGTTGGGGGTAGAGAGGAGAATTAAGCAAGGTTGCACTAGGATACTTCCTTATACCTTTTACTAGTTCATTAGAACACGTCTAGATATTCCAAAGTTGCAAAAAGCCCTCTTTCGGTTATAAAATCTCAAAATGAAAGTCCACCTCCCAAAATGCACTCCCAAGCCCCTTCAACTACACTCTAACTTGGGAATTTACACAAGAAACACTGAAGTAGATAATGTGTGGGAGGCATCCACAAATTAACCTCTAAATTAGAAAAAGAAAAATTTTGTGAATTTTTGGAGGAGTTTTTGATCTCCTTTTCTTTTTCTATTTTTTTTTCTTTGTCTTTTTTTCAACATTCATTTCCCTCGCCTTTTTTAATTGTGAGCGGCTCTTTCTTTTGTTCGAAACATGTGGCTTATTATGCCACTTATTACACAAGATACACATAGAACCGATTTCCTAGTAGAGTTTCATTTTGGGGAGGAGGGGAGACACATCAAGGGCACAAGGGACCGCAATTTGATTCAAACATATCCTACTTTGGGAAAATTTGACAATATCCTATGCTAGACGTGCAATTAAGCATTTATCGGTTTTCATTTCATATGCTCTAATGCAATCAAGATTAATAAGCCTCTAAATGACCCCAACTCTTGCACACACCCTTCTAAAAGAACTTTTACTCATCACTCAAGAGTCGAGCAAGCAAATCATATAAGCATCGTCATTTGAGTCTCATCCAAGGGCTATTTTTTCATTTTTTTTTCTTTTTTTTAAGCAATAGAAAATGAATAATTACAAAGTTGAGTTAGACTAAGCTAAGAATGACTAGACATCTAAATAAAGAGAGAGGAGAGAAGTATTCACAAATTAAGAGATTTGGATTTAGGGTGTTGGATTTCAAAGGGAGAAAATTTGGATGTTTAGGGGTTTGGATGTTAGGGGAAGGGAACAAACAACATTCAAGGTTGATACTAAAACAAGAACATACAAGAACCAACATATGAACCAAAGAGAAAGATTCCCCCCAAGCTATCATAAACATTGTCCCCAATGTTAAAACAATTAAAGCACATGAAAGGGGGGGAAAAGAACTAACTCATTGGCTCGGGCCTCCTTGGGAGCTTGAGCCCCCGGGGTACCAATGCCGGTAGACATTCCGGAATTCACCCAATTCCGACCAAAGACCTTCGAAGCTTGTCCTCATGTTGTCGTAGGAGGATCTCATGTCTTCGTGAGACTTTCTCATAGTCTCGAACTCGGTGGACATGCAGTTGAACCCGACATTCATCAATTGCATTTGTTGCTCAAAGGAAAGGGGTGGGTTGCCCTCACCCATGTCTTGACCTTGGTACCCTTCTTGGTACCCTTGTTGGTGCTCATATTGTTGTTGTTGTTGGAATTGTTGTTGGAAATGTTGTTGTTGCGGTTGTTGTTGTTGTGGTTGTTCTTGCTCTTGCTCATGCTCTTCTTCATCATCACCTCATGATCTTGCTCAACACTCTCGTCATACTTGGTAGGTCGAACTCTCCTCCTACTTATTCTTATATAGTTGTTCAAAAAGGTTGGGTCATTGAACACGATTCCCATAGTGTCCACTTGTGGTGGATCAACGGGAGGAGGAGGAGAGGGGTTGCGGTACCTAGCATCCGTGTTTCTAGGTCGATTTATTCTAGACATGGTCGGTCTTAATGGAATGCAATCAAATAAACCAAGACAAAATAATCACCTCGCAACCACACAAAGAGACTAAGTCCACAAGTCGACCAACCAAAGCTCAAGAAAGTTCAACAAACACAACACAATCAAGTCAAGTTCTAAGTCTCCCACCTAAAACAAGACAAGAAAATCACCAAACAACAAAGGCCACTTCAATAATGCATCCACAACAATTCTACATCAATTTCATGCACTTATTATCAAACAAACCAACACAACAATTCACCTAAACAAGCATGTTCTTCCTTTACCAAAATCAACTCCTTAATTCCATACTTACAAAAATTTCAATTCTCAAAACACACAAATATTCATTCAAACTCAATAATGCTTGACAATTATCAACTATCAATCACTCACAACCAATTCAAACAAACTTTCTCAAGAATTTCATGCAAAAATTCAAGGATTTAAACATGAAATTAGTGAAACCCGCAAATGAACCTTTCTAACCCTCTTTTTGCTTGCTTGAACTTTCTCCTTCAACCAATTGCTTCAAATTTCAATCCCAAAGAAAACCCCCAAATTGATTTTTCAAGGTTAGGGTTTGAGTATTTTGGGTGATTTTTGGGTTTGAATGTGAGAAAAGGAGTAGTAGTTTGTGAATTTATTGAAAAGGAGTGAAGACTTTGGAGAAGTTTGTTGAATTTTGGTAAGAATTTGGGTGTTTGAGGGGATTTGAGTGGGTATGGAGGAGGAGGAAAGAAGTTTTAGAGAGAGAGAGAGGAGTGATTTTCGTGGAGTAAGAATGTGAATTTTTTTTTAAAACCGTGCTGCTGACTGCTCAAACTGGGGTGGCACGGACGTGAAACATTTGGCACGGACGTGCAGCCTCAAATAGAAACTTAGATAGCTTACTGACTTATTTGTCACGGACGTGCAGGAATTAGCACGGACGTGCTGAGCCACCTTGCACAGACGTGCTTAATTTGGCATGTCCGTGCCAATCTGGAGAAATTTACTTTAAAATTCCTGATTGCTTCTGACTGCCTCTGCACGGATGTGCGGTGCTCTGCACGTCCGTGCAGACCTGTTGCTGAACGGATTTCTCATCATCATTTTTTTTGGATAATAATAGTAAGTCATAATAATAATAAAATTATTATCATTACCATTATTATTATCATTATAATTACCTACTACTTCACTTCCACAAAAACCTTTTCTTACTTCTCTTTTAATCAACACCTACAAAAGATATTGAGAGAAAAGTTAGTAACAGTAAGAGTGATGGAAATACAATAATAGTGTTTTAAGAGAGAGAGAGTTGAGAAACTCGGGTTGCCTCCCGGAAGCGCTCTTTTAACGTCACTAGCTTGACGAAATTGCGGGATCAATGAGAGTAAGGAACATCAAACTCATCAAGGTGAACAACCTTGGCTTCCTCATGCACAAAACCGTCAAAGTATGCCTTAAGCCTTTGGCCATTCACTTTGAACGGTTCACCATTGTCATTTGAAATCTCAATCGCTCCGTATGGAAACACCTTCTTAACGGTGAAAGGCCCACTCCATCTTGACTTGAGCTTACCCGAAAACAACTTCAACCGGGAATTGAATAGTAGGACCTTGTCACCTTCTTTAAACTCCCTTTAGCTAATATGCTTGTCATGCCAAGCCTTGGTCTTTTCTTTGTAGATCCTTGCACTCTCATATGCATCCATTCTCAATTCTTCCAAGGCGTGGAGGTCAAGCAACCTCTTCTCACCGGCGCTTTGAAGGTCGAAATTCAATGTTTTGATAGCCCAATGAGCTCGGTGCTCATGTTCTACCGACAAGTGGCATGACTTCCCATAAACAAGCTTGTATGGTGTGGTGCCAATAGGAGTTTTAAACGTGGTGCGATAGGCCCATAAAGCATCATTAAGATTTGTAGACCAATGTTTTCTAGACCTATCCACCGTTTTCTCAAGAATCATTTTTACCTCTCGGTTTGAAATTTCACCTTGACCACTTGTTTGTGGGTGGTAAGCTAATGACACCTTGTGCCTCACACCAAATTTCTCAAGGAGAACTTGAAAGGATCGCTTTGCAAAGTGTGAACCTCCATCACTAATCACAGCCTGGGGCACTCCTAACCTTGGGAAAATTACTCTTTTGAAGAGCTTGACCACAACCTTAGCATCATTAGTAGGAGATGCAACCACTTCCACCCACTTTGACACGTAATCGACGACCACTAGAATGAACTTGTTCCCAAAAGATCTCGTGAAAGGACCCATGAAATCGATGCCCCATACATCAAAAATTTCAAGTTCAAGGATGTTGTTCAAAGGCATTTCATTTCTTTTTAAAATATTACCAGTTCTTTGACACCGGTCACAAGGTTTCACCACACCCCACACATCTTTGAACATTGTTGGCCAAAAGAAACCGCATTGTAATATTTTCGCCAAGGTCTTGTTGGCACTCATATGTCCTCCACAAGGTGAGGAGTGACACATTGTGATAACATCTTCAATTTCATTTCCGGGACATACCTTCTAAAAAGGCCATCAATACCTTGTTTGAAAAGCAAGGGGTCGTCCCAAAAGTATTGGCGAACATCATGAAGAAACTTCCTTTTTTGTTGATAGGAGAGGTCGGGAGGAAGAATAGAGCAAGACAAGTAGTTTGCAATGTCCGCAAACCATGGTGTCAGTGCTTGGAGAATAGCAAATAGTTGATCATGCGGGAATGAATCGTCGATTGGCAAGTTCTCAAGATCACCTACAAAGATAGGAAACCGTGAAAGATGATCGACCACCACATTTTTGGCACCCTTCTTGTCCCTAATCTCAATGTCATATTCTTGTAAGAGCAAGACCCACCGTATCAATCTTGGCTTTGGTTCCTTCTTGGACAAGAGGTACTTCAAGGCCGAATGGTCGGTGAAGATTATGACTTTAGACCCCAACAAGTATGACCTAAGCTTCTCAATTGCATGAACAATGGCTAGAAACTCCTTTTCCGTGGTTGTGTAATTCCTTTGTGCATCATCCAAAGTTTTGCTAGTATAGTAGATAGCATGGAGATTCTTATCCTTCCTTTTTCCAAGAACGGACCCAATGGCAAAATTCGAAGCATCACACATAAGCTCAAAAGGAAGCTCCCAATTAGGGGGTTGAATGATAGGAGCCGAAATCAATGCCTCATTCAACCTATTAAATGCTAGAAAACAATCATTAGTAAACACAAAAGGGGCATCCTTTACCAACAATTGAGTGAGCGGCTTTGCGATTTTTGAAAAATCCTTTATGAACCGGCGGTAAACACCCGCGTGTCCAAGAAAGCTCCTTATCCCCTTCACATTTGTAGGGGGTGGGAGGCGCTCAATGACCTCAATTTTGGCACGATCTACTTCAATGCCTCTACTAGAAATTACATGACCAAGAACAATTCATTCTTCTACCATGAAATGACATTTTTCCCAATTCAAGACGAAGTTCACCTCTTGACATCTTTTCAACACTTTAATTAAATTCGAAAGGCAAATGTCAAAAGATGAACCAAAAATAGAAAAGTCATCCATGAATACTTTAATTGATGATTCAAGCATGTCGGAAAAAATAGACATCATACACCTTTGAAATGTGGAAGGTGCATTACAAAGTCCAAATGGCATCCTTCGATAAGAAAAGGTGCCTAAAGGACACGTGAATGTAGTCTTTTCTTGATCCTCGGGTTGGATTGGGATTTGGAATAATCCCGAGTATCCATCCAAGAAACAATAGTGACTATGTGATGCTAGTCTTTCCAATATTTGATCGATGAAGGGGAGTGGGAAGTGGTCTTTCCGGGTGGACTTATTCAATTTTCGATAATCAATACACATCCTCTACCCGGTGACAGACCTCGTAGAAATGGTCTCACCCTTATCATTCTTGATGATGGTCATGCCTCCTTTTTTAGGCACAACTTAAACCGGGCTAACCCACTTACTATCGGAGATAGGGTAGATTATGCCCGCTTCAAGAAGTTTTAATACTTCTTTTTTCACAAATTCCTTCATGTTTGGATTGAGCCTTCTTTGGTGCTCAATCGAGGAAGCATGATCATCATCAAGTAAAATCTTATGCATGCATATAGCAGGACTTATCCCCTTAATGTCATCAATTTTGTACCCAATGACACCTCTATACTCCCTTAAAACAACTAGGAGTTTCCCAAGAGAGGTATCATCAAGCTTAGCATTGATAATAACGGGATAACTCTCACTATCATCAAGAAAAGCATATTTAAGTAAAGGAGGAAGGGGTTTAAGTTCAACCTTGTGAGGAGGCGTAGTCCTCTCCTCTTTTACCTCCACATTAAGCACTTCCACTTTCTTTTCATTGTGGACTAAAGGTTGGTTGAGCAAAATATCATACCCCCTTGTTTCTTCACCTTCCTCAACTAAGCCTCCCGTTAGGATAGCTTGTAAAGGATCTCCTTCAAACAAATTCTCTTGGAACTTCTCTAAGTCCCTTTCCAATGTATCAACTCTATGAACTTCATCATACAATGGCTTTTTCAATGTTTGTGGGAATGAAAATGATATTTTCTCATCTCCCACATTCAAGGTCAATCTTCCTTGCTTCATATCAATCACAATACCCGCGGTGTTAAAAAATGGTCTTCCCAAGATTAGGGGCACCGTAGTATCTTCTTCCATTTCCATTACCACAAAATCACATGGCATAAATACTCTTCCAACTTGAACCGGCACATCTTCAAGAATTCCCAAAGGTAGCCTAACCGTGCGGTCGGCCAATTGTAAGGACATTCTTGTTGGCTTCAAGTCTCCAACTTTCAAACTCTTAGCAATAGAATAGGGCATCAAGCTCACACTTTCCCCAAGATCACATAAAGCATCCATAGCCTCCAAGTCTCCAATCTTCACCGGTATTGCATAGCTACCAGGGTCACCAAGCTTTTGAGGAAGCTTGTTTTGAATGATTGCACTCACCTCCTTAGGAAGGGAGATGGTTGCACTCTCTTCAAGCCTACTCTTATTGGATAAAATATCCTTCAAAAATTTTGCATATGTAGGCATTTGTGACATAGCATGAAGAAAGGGGATATTCACTTGAAGTCCTCTCATGACTTCAACAAAATTTGAAAACTTTTCATTCAATTTCTTTTCAACAATCCGATGAGGGAATGGAATGGAAGGCTTGTATACTTTCACGGGGGGCTTTTCTACCTTTTCCTCATCTCCCTCATTCTTCCTTTGTGGCTCCTTTCTCTCAACATCAACTATCTCATTTTCAAACTCACCCTCATTTTTCACCACAACTCCCTCATCTCTCTTTTGTGGCTCCTCTTCACTCATAATCGGCCCTTCATAACCTCTCCCCGATCTCAAAGTAATGGCCTTAGCTTTCTCCTTTGGGTTCACAACCGTTGAGCTTGAGAAGTGACCACTAGGATTGGAGGATGAACTCCCAACTTGTTGCGCAATTTGAGCCAATTGATTCTCAATTATCTTGTTGTGTGCTTGAAGTTGTTGGATGTTCGCTTGCATATCCGCATTGCTTCTTCCTTGTTGTGTAATGAAGGTCTCAAGTGCGGCTTCAAGGTTAGATTTTTGAGGAGGTAGAGGAGCAGGTTGGTTATATTGTTGCCTTTGTTGATTTTGGTCCCTTTGGTTAGGGTGACGGTAAGGAGCTTGTTGGTTTTGTGGATGAGATTGGTAGTATTGGTTTTGAGGGGGCCTTGGTTTTGTTGTTTCCAACCCGTGTTTTGTTAGGGTTTCCAACCCTGATTGTAGGGTGAGAGTATTGATCGTGTCTTTGCCCAATAGGCGCAGCTTGCTCTTGGTTAGTTGAGTTACAATAGGAGGACAGATGATCATTTCCTCCACAAGTTTCACAAGACATGACTTGTTGTGAAGAAGATATTGGAGATGTAAGGGTGACTTGATCTAGCTTGTCAAACTTTGATGCAATAAGGTCTATTGCACTAAGGTCGTGGATTCCGCCCTTCTTTGCTTGAGGTTGCCGTCTATCACCTCCGTATGCATAGTGCTTTGCCACTTCTTCAATCATCTTGAATGCATCATCCACCGATAGCTTTTTAAGGCTACCACCGGCCCCGTTATCAAGGTTGGCCCTTGAAGTAGGAGTAAGACCATTATAAAAGCTTTGAACAATGATCCATGATGTGAAACCATGGTGTGGGCATTTTCTAGTGTAGTCCTTGAAATGCTCCCAAGCTTCACTTAAGGTTTCATCAATCTCTTGGTTGAAATTGGTGATTTTCCTTCTTAGTTGGCGGTCTTTTCGGGTGGACAATAATTTCCAAGGAAAGCTCTAGTGACTTCATCCCATTTGGTCAATGATCCCTCTTCTACCGTTCTCAACCAATGCTTTGCTTTGTCACGGAGGGAGAATTGAAACATGTGCATACAGATGAACTCTTCCGTGATGTTGTTTTGCTTGATGGTTGTGCACAATTCGAGGAAGCTGTCCAAATGAGCAAAAGGACACTCACGAGAACTCCCACCAAATTGATCACTTTGTATCATACGGATGAGTTGAGGTGAAAGCTTAAAATTATTTGCATTCATAGTAGGGAGACGTATGCCACTCTGAAGTGTGAAGGCATCGGGGTGGTCATAATCTCGTAACAATGGTGGAGGAGGATTATTATCACCCATGTTATCTTCTTCGTTGGTTGCAAAGATTTCCTCCGGATCGGAATCCGAATATACAATAGAGAACTCGGGTGTGCCTTGCAAAAGCCTCCTCACGTTTCTCAATGTCCTATTTAACACTGGATCAACGGGAATAAGCGGTGATTGCTTACTCTTCCGTGTCATGCAAGGTCAAACAAAGCTGAGAAAAACGTTAGCAATGACTATCACAAGTTGAAAACACAAATATACAAAAATAAATAAGAAAAATTATGATACAAATACACACACTTAGACTCATTCAACAATAATACATTCAATGCGACTTTGCCTCCCCGGCAACAGCGCCAAAATTTGATAGGCCATCACCTTGATGATGATGATGTGTTATGACAATTTTGGCATGGTTTGTGTGAGTTGTGGGTTAAGCTCAAGGGAAACCCTCACGAGATAAAAAATTGTCCTCTTAGGCGACTTAGGGGTTTAAATTTCTTTTCACTTGTGCTAAAAGTGTTTATGGTTCTTGCCATGCGGATTTGTGTTTGTGTTTTCTCTTTAAGTATCTTTCCTTGGTTTGATCATTAGCAAGTAATCTTCCTTCTTGATTTGACATGTTTGTTTTGCTCGAGGACTAGCAAAAGCTTAGCTTAGGGGGATTTCAAAATTTGATAGGCCGTCGTCGAGCCTACAAAAGATAAAGTCCTATCTTGGTCTCACTAACTAATAGCAAGGGTAAGACAGGGTCAAACCCAAGAGAGGCGT